CTTTCACCTCTGACAGGTTTCGACGGGGCATTGAGTGTCAACTTTTGCTCTTCGCTTTGTATGCTTGTTGCGCCAATAAAAGTGTTTACCTGTGCAAGGTTCTGTGAAACCACAAGTTTTTGTCAAAATCAGGGCAGTACATGTTTAGAGGCCGGCAGCAACTGCGAAGAAGCCAAAGACGAGGGCGACGACGGAGACGAAGCAACTACGATGGTGCAATTTGATGCCTGGGGGGGGGGTAATTACCATTTGTGAAGTTTCTTTCTCTCTGTGGATCTGTGTGTTTGTGCGTGTGTGAGGAATGACTGATGATTGATGCCTCCACGGTAGGATGAATTGCTGGTTGATGCAAGAGAGACAGGATATTAGCGAGGGCGGATGGTACGATGAGGTGGGGAGCATCAACTGGACAGTGACAAGAGCAAGGCGGATAAAGCGTCACTCGCAGACTGGGAACAAATTTGCTTTATCGTCCATTTTGATTGGTTACGTGATTGATCATTTGATTGGTTGTCAACCTTTTGGCGAGGACACAGTGTTTTCATTGAGTATCAGTTGCGTGATTGGAAGTGGAGCAGTGTCTGGGTAATCCACATCACCGCAAAGTTGTGACAGCTGCCTTGTTGTCAGTCAACAAATAAGTGACAACCAGGAGACTTTAAGGACAGTCAATTTGACTTGGTGGGTATTTCAAATTCTGCCATGATTAGCGAAATAGTTAGTTGACTTTGACTGAATAGGCGTTATTGCCTGGCAGGTTTCATAGGACAAAATCAATCCATTCTCAGAAGTCTCCCTTTTGTGACCTCTTTTGAGCGTATAGCAGCAAAGCAAACTGTCTAAGTTATGTCTACCCTTTTCAAACGCTCCAAAACGTCAGAATGTAGCAGCGTCGTTCTAGAAATTAATAAATCAAAAAATTTCAATTCCACATTAGGATAATGCGCCAAGTTACCTACAGAGGAGGCATAAAATATAGCGCAAATCACCAATCCAAATGTTCCCTGCTATCTTCTGAGACATATTTGATATATTTTAATCTCACGCTACAAGCAAGGGTCACAAACCTTCCTCCACTGTCGTGAAATCTTGCCTCAAGCTTTGAATTGTGCAGATTAATGCTTGATACGCCGTCATGGTGACAGGAGTGAACTCAACTACCTCGTTAGACGCATTGGCAGGATTAAATGACTTTCCTAAATAGTTTATCCCAAATCTTGTTTGACTATATCAGGGTTACTAGTATCCTTCGTGTAGCTGCGAAAGCAGTGGTTGATTTCCGCCCTAACGACCAAAGACAGCACCTCCCACGACTTCACATACAGCTGTTAAACTGTGATTTGAAAGCAGAACGAAGAAAAAGATGTTCCTCTGTGCATAGTTGTATGTGTATGCTGATTTTCGCATCAATCGTACACACAATTCCATGCCTTTTTCGGCATTTTGGGTCTGACATTGTTCGCACAAATCTTAACGTATTCCTTTTCTAAGCACAACTTTGAAGTTTGAATAATCGTTTTAAAATTTGAAGCACATTGTTGCATCGAACTCTGCGGGCATGGATTGAAGGTGTTTGCATGATTTGCTCATCATCTAGGTTCAGACAGTATAAGATATAAACAAGATGCCCCAATTCCCAGATGCCAGAAAACCCTAAAATTCCCAGCTCATCAGTTAATTCAAAAAAATAAGTTCCCTAGAATAAATGCAGTTAGATCCGCCACACATCTTTTATGTATTTCCATTTAGACCTCATTTGTCGACTACTAATAATAAAGGTAAAAAACGCCTATTATCGCAATATTTTGTTCCTTTTAAAGTGTGTGATTTTGGGACCTAAAGGAAAAATGTATATTGATGGCAGTGGTTGAAAAAGACATGGGAATTTCTCAACAAAATTGTGTATACTATCGTTTGCCTCATTGAGCATTAAATTGCGCAAGTGTGTAAGCACTACGCAGTTGAGGGGTTTACCACACGGATGCTCATCACTTTGAACGTATATGCTGCACAAAGCTGGATGCATCTTTCTAATACACGCATTGACAAAATTAAATTTCTTCATTTATGACTTTTGGAACAAACTAACACAATCGGACAAAAGATGGTTGTTAAAATATTCAGCGTCAAATTAAAAAATTTATTGCTGAAATATTTGCTGTATTATAAATGGGCTTATATAATAATTA